CATGAAATCCTGTGCGTGTCACCCCAAATGGCTACGCGTGTCAGCACTGACATGCGTATCATAGGTTCGCCATCACTGCTCTAGAAGGAACTTTGGCACTGGATGCTGATGCTGTCCATCTTTCAAGAGGGCCAATCTTTTGAGCCCTGAGGGCTGGCTTTATTGGTTAGAGAATGACCAATCCTAGGGTAAAAGCTCAGTACTAAGCCTACAAGTGCATCAGCAAGTAATGCAATTTGTACAATGAAAATTTCACACGGTACTCTTGTTAGTACAATTTTTGCACATTGGTGATAAAATTTATATAAAGGAACTTCTGATAATATAAATCAATCTTGGAGTTACATTTTTCTTAAGTGCTATTGAAGAAATTTCATTTTCCATATTTGTTTCAGTGGGCTGTTTTTGTTCAGGTTTTCATATATTGACTATAAACAGTTTTTCATATATTGGGTTTATTTATTTATTTTGTTTAGTGTATGGCATGTGTTAGCCAGGGATGGCTTCCTCTCTGAAAGGAATTTTTTCAAGCGGTGTTATCTTACCCATGGGATGCCAGAAGGCCAGTAGGCAATCGGGGGTGGGGTGGGGTGGGGGGGTACCTTTCCTATCTCTACGCGATTTATTCGCTCATGGAGCACAAGCTCAGCGTCTTACCACGTGAGCCACCTAACCCCTATGTATTGGGTTTATAAATTGAGTAAACAAATAAGTAAAGTATTTATAAAATAGCCTTGGAATTCTTTGCAGTTAAAACAATACTGTATGATATACACTTGGTTCATTTACTGCTTATGTCTCTGCATGTCTGATTGATAAAATTTAGCCAGGGGCTAGAAAAGAAATTTGGTCATTATGTTACATTTAAGGCTGCTTTGTTTTGTCAGCAAGAGAGGCTTTTATTGAAGCGGGAAGAATCCTAAATGGATATGTCACAACAGGGATCTACTATGAAGAGGATGCTACAGTTCTGTATGTTGCTTTTTTCCTTGCTTAAATCACATAATGAACCAATTGGCTGATTTTGTATTTAAGGGCTGGGGGAGATCTAGACAGAATTCTTCCTTTTCTTTGCTGATGGGGATCTGTTTCTAATTGTCAGCATCTTTCTAAAGCAGAGTTCCTTTACCTGAGGTCCATAGAACCCTTGGAGATCCATAGATAGTTTTAAAGGGTTCATGAACTTGGATGGGAAAAAAATGTTTTCATTAACCTCTAGCTGAAATTTATCTTTTCATTCATTAATCTACATAGGCAAGAAAGTAATGTATGGCCTCTAAATTCCACAAATGTTTAATTCTTGTCATCTAAAATTATGGTTAATATTTTGTTATTGATTGAACAGTTTAATGAAAAAGCACACATAAATATTTTCTTAACTGTATTTGAGAATAATTAAATTTTCTTTGTAAGTTATACGTACTGTGTATACTACTATATATACTTGGGTTTTGCAAGTAAATTCATTTTAATGCACATTGGTTGCAATAGATTCTCAAATGGGTCTCTGGCATAAAAAGATTAGGAAGCCCTTTTCTAAAGAGAGACTTGAATAACTGAATGCGGTTCACAAAACTGTTGATTAATGGGACAGCAGATTTGTGTGTGATTCTAAGGAATGCTGTTTTTTCAGGGCTGTTCCAGCTTCTGCTGTTTGTATTTGTCTGTCTTTTCATTTTTGTATTTCCCCTATTTAGTTTGTTAGCCGCCCTGAGTCCCCTCGGGGAATAGGGCGGCATACAAGTTCAATAAAACTAAACTAAACTAACTAAACTTCTCCCTCAGGAAAAATGCTGTGCGTTTGCTAAGATGACACTTTCAGGACTGTATATCATCAAGGAAATCTAGTATGAGATAGTCCTCATGTCAGAGTTTGTTGCAGAAAAATCAAATCTAGAAAGCGCACACAGATAACTGATCCAGCTGGATTTATTAACTTCTTTATATACATAATAACAGATGAATAAATGTACAATACCAATAGTAGAGTCTTTCAATGTGGTA